GTAAAGCGGAGGGGTCGTCACATGCGCACGCGCGAGTCCCAAGTGACGATAACAACGCACGCTAAAAACGCAAAGGCTCATGAGTAGACGCCTATTTGTAAACAACGACACGCTATGGCCGTCTGTCGCATGCGCAGGTGACGACTCCTCCACTTTAAGTCACATCGGACATCAATGACCATTACATTTGATTTTTTACGTGGTATACAATATGAAATACAATGTATGGTTTGATGTGAAACTATTTTGATGTGTCTACATTAAGATCAGTATATCTATCCCAAATCTCGTACGGATTTGTCCATGTACGGGAGATACGTCCATTAATTGACACCTGCTTTTCTCTGCTGTCTTTCAGTCCATGGGTCAAACACATTTCCGTTCCTATGATGAGTTCACTGAATTCACTCTTGGACGCTCCAACTACGGGATATCCTCTCCATTGAAAGCATGGTTTGATGATGTCATGGTTGTATTGCCTGATGCAAGCACTGCTGTCGATGACGATCTGTCTGACGTAGATGGTAAAAAAAAAAAAAAAAAAAAAAACAATAAATAAATGAATAAATAAATAAACAAATACACATATGGTAATGATGAGCGTTTTTACCTTCCAGATAGTGGAACATACAATACCGCTGACGAGCACTACGATATAACAGACCCAGACAGTGGTGTTGAAATTATACACACAACTCTCACATTAGACAGAGAGGGTATTGAAGGTGGCGCTGTCTATACAAGAGACAATAGCCACTTGGGTTACATCGATATGGGTAGGCACATATAATGTTTCTTTGTAGTACTTATAGTATCGATAGATTGATTCTCTACAAAATGCTTTCATTAAAACAGATCAGAATGAATTTTACAATGTGGTTTTTATTTTGGGCTGTTGGTAACTAAGGCGATGACCGAATTAAGTTCTTCTTAAAAAACTTCAATCCAAATTTTGTGGTATCGAAATAGGTCTTATCGTATCTGAACATTTTGCGTGATAATACTTATAATTGTCATGAATTATTATAACATTCTGATTATTAATAATAACGTGTTAATAGAATACAGCTTCAACATAAATTATGGTGGAAATAGTAGAAACAATGTCCACTTGACAAATGTTTTCCGAATTAAGAATTATATGACAAATTTGAACAAAATAATCATGCTAAGTGCGAGTTAACAATTGTAATCGGTTAAATGTTTGTGAACGATTTTAACGTGTTGATTATAGCATACATTACATGTTTAGGTCACCCAGGCAAAAAAGTATGGCGACAATGTTGGTCGTCACTCGTGAAATAGTGACCTTGGTTGCTAAATAGACGATGGTTTGAGCCTTTTGGCAACATCTAAATACGATTTTTCGACCTTTAAAGATGGATGGGGGCATTTGCGTGTTTCTATGTCACGTGATTTGTTTCATCCAAATACAATATCACGGGCATATCCAACGTATTATTTGTCGTAGTCGCACGTTTATATAATCACGTGACCCCCATATGTTGAATGTTGTTACAGTAATTGTTGTCAGGATAAAATAAAGAAGAAATATGAACAGACATGTTTTTTTTCCACGCTAGGTTACTATGGAGGACGTTGCATCAGCGATCCTTCAAAGTGCCTTGAAGGCGGTGTGACTATATCAGTATGGATTTTATTGACAGACACCCGTCATTTTGAGGACGCATCCACAAATCCTGGAGGTGTCGGATACATTCTTAGGTAGGAAAAGTTGACGATATTAATTCTAGAGTATGTGACTGTATAATTTTCTCAATTGCATATTACGTCATTAGTGCAACTGCATTGTTGAAATATTCAGTATAGTATAAAAAATACGCTAATCTAGGATATGTGTCATTTGCGCATTGCGCCATTTGATAACTGTACTGTTAAAAGGTAGAGTTTCTGTGATGTAAAAATAAAGGTTTAGATTGTGATCATTATTAACTATCCAGAATCTTGTTATCTTTAGTAAATTTTCCTTGAGTGATTTTTCATTTAGTTGAATGTAAATGTATGTTTTTAAAGTGGTTGAGTGGTCCCCTGCGCACGCGCGAGAATTGAGTTCCAAGCTATGATAACAACACACGCTAAAAACGCAAAGGTTCATAGGTAGACGCTTGTTTGTAAACAATGACACGCTATGACCATCTGACGCATGCGCAGGCGACGACTCTCCCGCTTTAACGTGTTTTTTTTAACATTAAACTTGATTTGCCATATTCAAAATTGTTGTAAGGCAAAAGTTCTTAATTGTGAAATTAAAAATTACAAGAAATGTTGTAGGTACCATATAAACACATTTTACAGTAATCATTTGTATCATTTGCTAGTTCTGGAGCTCAGTCAAATCTTGGTAGAGGTTTCGCAGTCTACACAAATCAGAACTACACCTACTTCCTGGTGCATAATGGACAGAATAAATGGCAAATACAATTGGAATACATCTTCAACAGTTTTTGGTTAAACGTTGCCATGTCGTGGAGTGAAAGTAAAGGACTTAAAGTCTATATTAATGGTTCACTTGAGGGTAAGACGAGCACAGATATACATGTTGAAATATACATAGTTATTGGCACTTCAGTTAACCTGCATTATCTGGGCTAATATACATGTACTGTATAACATGTCTTTTTCGCGAATTTAGCGAGAGAACTGATTTGCTATTTCAAGATGTCGCTAATGACTTTATTATCAATTCAAAATGGCCGCCAAACAAAGATATCAACAATGACAAGAGAGATTCGCTAAATCAACATTTCGCTATTACGTCATTTTACCACAATTTTACCGCTTTTTCAACATGTTTTACAGTATACGCGCGCAAGACATTCTTCTACATTCGTAGTTTCTAAAGACACCCACTCAAAGAAGTTCTTTTTGTGACACTTCCAATGCTGTGGGTTCAAATCATTTAGATACAGTCAAAAATAATGATTGGCCAATGAACAAGTTTAGTGACTAACCAGCCTGGATTGAATTTTTTCGACGTTTTCTGAAGTGTATATATTTATATACGTTATGTTGTCTCCTGACTCAAAAAATTATATATTGTTACTAGAAGTGAAGTAATTTTACAGCACAATTCAGAAAGTTTCATTTGATTGGTTTTTATTATATTAACATTATATTGTAACCATTATACGTATTATGAAATCTCTCATGATACATTGGCCATATACATTTAAGGTGTTTTGAAACATACTGTGTCGGGTAGTGTAGTTTGCTCTAGTAGCAAGAACTTTGTCACCAACGAAGGCGAAGCATATATATCGTTATGCCGATTTTTAAATGCACTTATTTTTTAAACTCAGTATCGCCTCTCGGTTAATATCTTCTGAATTATTCAATATATATCCTCAGAATTTACCATTGCTATTTACCGGTTTTTGCCATAGCGTATACTAATACCGGCGAGACGGGTGCAGCAAGACCTGATTTTTATCAGTTTCTTCACTTGGGAAAGAGAAATGACGCCGACGAAGATTACCTTGGCGGCACCTTTGATGACCCAGCTATATGGTACGAGGCTTTCGACGAGGACGTCACATCGGAATTGGAAGAAATATTAACCGGTGGAAACACCGATGAAATTCGTGAGTTTGAAATGAATTAGCAATCTGAACTATTGTTGCACTCTCATAAATATACAGGGACATGACATTGACATACGGTATTCTCGTACAGAATATTAGGCCGAGCGATTAAGAAAGTAATTAGCATAATCATTCCGGGAACTTGACTGCTGTTTTCGTGTCTACATCTCACAGTAGTTGTATATTCTAATAATTACTTTCAATGAAATGCATATACACACGTGTTTTCTTGCTATAAGAAGGTGCGAGAGAGAGAGCTACTATGTGTGCATTATCCCCAAACGCTCATATAATACTCAAATTAAGATATCATTAGTTATACAAATCACATAATAATTTTACTGATAATGTTATAGTTATTTTTCCCCAAATATATGTGCTTTGTATTGCAGACGTGACAACAAACCATGCTGAGTTAGATGCTCTTTCTGCTTTCACTGGTAACCCCGACTGCGCAGATCGTCATGAGGCAAATTGCGCTCGTAATATTGATGAGCTGTATCAGCTGGTATGTCAATATCATTTCCTGGTGTCAATATCACGTGATATAAAAAACTTCATCGGATCCACCATTTTGTTTCTTCCAATTCATAGCTATTTGATTAGTCCAGCGAACATGTATATTTTTTAACAACATGCATTAAAGATTCCGAAAACTTCATTAGAGATTGTGGATGTGCGTATCAAAACCCAACATACTATCGTGCGTCAGAAACTTGCTAATAACTAACATGCATATCGGAGCTGCAGTTTCAACGTATCGTCTCAACTAGTTCTAAAAACACAATTATTTACATAGTGTATTTTTTGTTTACCATTTCAACATTAGATTATGAGTGAAACTCTTGATGATGTAGGATTTGCAACCGTAGTGGAGAAGCTACATGAATTATTCGCCCCAAACATGTACATCTCAGCTGACGAGCTCCAGACATCGGTGTTGATCGTTGAGAAACTAACTGGTCCGTGGCGACCGGAGAGGATGAACTTAACAGAAGTTGTGGATGAATTCCATGTAAGCTGTTTCATAACTTGTAGCTTGTATAAAAGTGATCATCGATGCCCGTTTTATATTACCTGTATTTAAAACAAATTAATGTCATTCTTTCAGAATCTTGTTGAAGTTTCTAGTAAGCTTGTAGATGCAAGTCGAGCAGCTAAGTGGAACGAAGTTCACAGAGTAAGACTATTCACGTATATCGATTACTCGTAGAATTCAAATAATTTTCAATGAATTACACATTGGCAATAGCCTTGTAAACCAAACTCATTCATCCGTAGACTCAATCAGGAACTTCACAGTTGGTAAAGGCATTGGACGACTGGAGTATGCAACTTGCCCAGTATTTTGACAAAGACCTAGATCTAGTCGTTGTTGCAGACAACATAGGTATGATTTGTGTTATATGTATACACAATGAACAAAATATGTCTTTATTTACCAACAATGAGGGTTGCGGAGGAGGGCTATACTAATGCTTCAGGATGGATCCGTCTAGCCTGAATATAGCGCCGTGACACAAAAAATATCTTTATTGCATTATTAGAAATAAAATTTTTGTTATCAGTGGTTTGCAAATAACAAGTTGAAAAATATGGAATAGATAAATGAAGTTGTGTTTATTGTTATTGTGTTTTTGGAATGCAAGAAATGTATAGCCGTCAACAATGTTTACTATATCAGTAACATTTGATACCATTAAATACATGTACTTGTCTTTATTATTTATTAATTTCACTGATAATATTATTTGTCTTAACATATCTTGTCGGAAATAGTGAGCGAAATTGTATAATGTAAATAAACGTGCTTAGAAAAGAACACAATTACAAAATAGACTGTATCGTCAATGTTCTTGTATCAACTACTATTACTACCTGTTTTTGTTTTTTTTTAGCTCTTGAAGTTCATAAATGTCCGATGTCAGAGTTGGATTTACACCAGATACGCATATTTCCAAATTACGAGGATTCTCGATGGAACAGAACGAATCAGATGTGGAACAAACCCACTGACAATATTGCTACGCCGAATATCTTGTTTGATTTCACAATTAAGGGTAAGTATTACAATAAAAATCGTTATCTATCATTTTCGGAAAGCAAAGTTGAGCGTCAAATATATTGGATATAACAAAGAAACACACAAGACTGGGGACGCGAAATATTAATTAACAACTACACACAGATATTATTATGTCCCTCTGCTTGTGTTTGTTGCATGTACTTCTGAAACCAACCATTTACTGGAATATTTATGACGTCACAGTTAATATTCAACGTATGTATAAGGTACAGTGTCCGATATATTACACACAGCGGGGTATATTTCTCGGAGTACTCTCCGTGTTATTCAATGTACGCATGTAAGACAGCTTAAATATAATAAGTAGCTACTAATGATTCTTCCAAATTCCAGGGTACGATACGGTGATATTCATATTCTTTGAATACAACACGTTAAAAGATATGTTTCCGCAGTTTCCACATGAAAAGTAAGCAAATAGTCCATTGTCTATACCAAGTAACAACTTCCCTCTTTTCGTCCATCTCTTCTTCCTCTTCCTCCCACCTCCTCCTTCAAAAATACGAAATTGAGTATTCTGTGTATATAAGCAGAATTAAGTGACCATGTCAGTTAGACAATAATTGCTGTTCTGTGATTTTTCAACAGCATTGGTCTAGATTACGGCGAAGTCGTCACTGTTGGCAGCCGAATTGTCTCTCTGCAAACATCGCCGCCACTCAGAGAAGACTTGTATCTCCCCGTTGAGATAACACTACAGCATTCAAGGGTGATCATGGATTTATTTTACTATAGGGGGGTAGCTTTATACAGCTGTTCCTTTTCGCATAATTATTGCGAGTGTTTATTATTCTAGCATTCATAAACATGAATACTTTTATTTATTTTCAGAATCTTGAGGTCGGAGAAACTGCACTATGTGCGTTTTGGAACTTTACAGTCCCGTAAGTAGCTTCCAAAACTCGTTTTACCCCTCGCATAAATAAAAGTTTGACTCGTTTGATATATGAGAAATGTATTTGCAAAATGCGTCTTTGATTTCAGGGACACAGTCTTCGGTGCCTGGGATACGGCAGGTTGTTCTATCCAGGACACTGGTCTATCGCAAACCATTTGTGACTGTGTGCATTTCACAAACTTCGCTGTCGTTATCACACCTCCGGTCATAGAGGTAAGTGATATGTTTTTATTTTAATACTGATATAACAATTAACATTTCGATGCCAAACTTAACAATCATGTACCTCCATGCTAACCCCTCCTATGCCACACCTTAACATGTCCATGCATGTACTTTTATCCCAATATCTATAAGTAGGTAATTCTCTCTTGGAACGAATGTGTATTTTTTTCAAAATTACAATTATCGAAATAACATACTGAACACACAACCAAATTGTGTCACATCGATTAATACATTTGTTTTTTGTGTGAGAATGATAATGATTGGCCATTTTATTTCTAGATTAAGACTATTGATGACATCATTCTTGAATACATTATGTTAATTGGCGGAGGTACATCCATGGCACTGGTATTACTGCTTGTTATGATGTTTGTGTGTGTCAGGTAAGTGCAGCGTCAACATTTTCCGTTAAGAATGCAGTATACATGAACTATTTCGGGGAAGTCATCATCTGCGCATGTGTCAGTTGGCCATAGCGTGTCATTGTTTACAAACAAGCGCCTAACCATGAGCCTTTGCTTTTTTAGCCTGTGTTGTTATCGTCGCTTGTGGGACTCATGACCAATTCCCGCGAGCGTGCAGGTGACGACCCTCCCGCTTTAAGTTAGGATTATGATTCCTCGTGAACTGATAATGTAGAACAAAACTGAATATTTGTTCGTTGAAACAATGACATTTTCTCTTCTTACAATAACAATCAGCACTGTGTGCTAAAAACGTCAAATTTGCTTCTGGACATTCTGTATTCTGTCCATATCACATCATTAAAGCGAATTATTTTACGCCGCGCGAAACCCTGTTGATCCAATCTATATGATTATATGCTTAATAATTACTATGACTAATAACTATAATAACTTTGTTTTTCCAGTTATCTTCACACCATACGGCATGTAATTCACATTAATCTGTGTGTTGCTATATTCGGTGGCACACTGGCGTTCATTCTCACTATCCCATTACACGACAACCAGGTAAGATTGTTATGCGAATACACACACTTCCCCGGTTTTTATTTGAAACGAACAATTCAATCAAAATGCAGGCAAATGTGAACTCCTTGTCTATTTCTATTCTAGAACGATTGCGTAATTCTCGGTGTGTGTATGCACTTCTTTTACTTGTCTGCCTTTACTTGGACGTTGTTGGAAGGAATTAATCTCCTGGTAGATATTAAGAAAGCAATTACTGGAAGTGCAGACTTGGATGACAAGGATAAAACAGAGGGGGCAAACTCACTCTGTTCTGAGATACTTCGATATTACCTAATACTTGGTTGGGGTGAGTTGTAGTTTTATTTGTTCGTACCGGAATTAGGAATCGGTCTACTTATGCCACTTCTCATTGGAATTGACGGAAATGTGTACTGGCATTTTTAAATTAAATATAATTTGTATTATAGTGTATGGCCGAATATAGTAAGTAATATTCTTAATATTTGTGTGTTATCATACATTGGTGTTAATTAGACCCCGTCTCTATAATATTCTTTAGGAATTCCAGTGTTGGTCGTTGGAATCACGTTCGCAATGTCACTGGACATATATGGACATGCTCGGATGTAAGTATCACATGATACAACCAAATGTGCTATAGTATGTGATTTCACTAGAAACAATATCATAATCAGTATCATAATCAATATCCAATAAATATACAATTTCACAATCCTTCAAACAAACAAAAAACTGCCAAACATATTACGATAGCAACACAATCAAACAGTGAAGAAATGATTGACACACATATTGGTCAAAATAGTGAGAGACTGATATATGACAATAGGGCTCATAACCAAAAACTGATGTCACCTATTTCAAAAAACCATTCATGGAATAAATTCCGAGTTTATCGGATTTATTGTGATATGTCGATATAGGTGGCGTGTCGTTTATTTGCACACTCTTTACTGATCATAAATAATATTCATATTGCTGATTATTTATTTCATTCGCAAAATAAAGTGACTTCCAATCACTGCACGCAATCACAGTATCTAAAATTAACATTTAACATTTGTTTTGTATTTTGTTTTCAGCTGTTGGATATCAGTTGACGATTTCGCTTACATGTATTTTGCTGGGCCAGCCGCAGCATTACTTATAGTATGTACTCCTCTCGTTTAATCATCAGTTGATCTAACAGTAAATCTAAACTGGTTCCTGCATATTTACACAGTGAATCATAAACACCCTTACAATATTGAAAAAATAGACACAATTTCAGAACTTAAATATCACCGAGATGACAGTTGTTTAATATTTTTTACTCGTATTCAGATAAATTACGTCATTATTGCCGAAGTGATGAAAACAAAAAGAGAGAGCAAGGACGTTGTTGAATTCCACTCCGGTTTTACGTAAGTAATTATAAATGTATCAAATATTAATAAACCTATTCATTTACATTGACTGCGTATCGATGTATATATTTTCCATGTCGTGATATAATAATAATAATATTATTTGTCAAATGCATAGGTCCAGCATTCGAGCTGCAATTTTCTTGCCGCTTATACTTGGAACTGGCTGGGCATTTGGTATACTGTATCTCATGGGTGATTATATCGTGTATCGTTATGTTTTCATAACTCTCATTGCTTGTCAGGTAAGTATAATATAATTGAAACAAAAAGCCTCACACAATGAGTGTCATGTGATCTTTTGTAATAATTGTAATTAATACTTTATGAATACAGGCCTATATGATATACATACTCTAGATACCCAAATCCATTTAGTAAGAGGAACTGATGTTTTGCACTTTTTAAAGATCATATATCATGCAGAGATTTTTTTGACTATTAATAAAACATTACCAATGTCAAGGTATTTGTGATGCGCAATTATTGTATGTATACGTCACAGTGTTATACTTTTGTTTGACTTGTAGGGAATCTTCCTGTTCTTGTTTCACTGTGTCGGCACCAGAGAGGTATGTACATGTTATTTTTATATTAGAGTATGTGAACAAAAAAATCAGTGTACAATATTTTATATATATTCAATTTACAAATCATAAAAAAATTCGAAACACTATTGCAATACCATTACCAGCAATACCATTGTGGTATTATTGTCACATACGATTTGGCAAAATAAAGAAATGAGGCGTTGCCGGTAACCTGACTTTGCCCAAATGTTATGCAATAACCAAAGTGGTACACGCCATTGATGACTTCCTGTTTTAGTCGCACGCTGGGCCAATTCTTCAAAACAAAATGGTGCCCGGACGCATGAATAACTATGCATTATTTTATTCGGATATTGCTCCCGTCTCGAATTTTGGACTAACACGTGCACAAACATATTGCTTGTGTCATAAAATGAGAATCTGAGATGGCTTTAAGTATCTGGAAAAGTAAAAAGTTGTTCCTATCTACTAGTACTCTACTGTTTTCAATATTACCAACATATTGCCTTTTGATTTTGTTAGTATACAGATGAACACACGAGCACGTATATCATAGATCGAAGATAAAATAAATATTATAATTAATATTTTAACAAAATGCAATATATATCTTCTATTTGTATAGGTTCGCGCTGTGTTCCTGCGACGTGACCCTACCGTGGAACTGACCTCAGTTAAACGCATATCTCTGGTAAGGCTTAACACTATTGCCTTAGAAACAGTGGAGAATTTCGGATGTACCAATAGTCTATTATGCACAAATATAACAAGCTAAATGCATTTAGCTCATTTGCAATCAACAAATATTACTAACATCCTCGAATGTTATACTTAATGCTAGTAACTCAATTACACAGAAGTGTATATCATTTCCCCCTGGCAATGAATACTACGCCAATAGGTTGGTGATATTACAATCATTAAGATTACATGCTCACAATCAGAGGGTTGGTTCAATGCTACCCAGTTGAGTTGAGATTTAGGGTTGGCCATTGGTAATAATGTGAAAGGCGCACTGCGTTTATGGTGGCATATTTACGCATTCATAACCAAATGCTTTTATTTTTCCCCACAGTCGCAGACCGATCTTCTAAACAACAAGATTCACTGTAAGTTGATTGTACAGTTTGCACATTTAAATGAATACACATGAATTCCAGGCAATTGATCTTGACCAACTGTTGTGTGAATATCATATATTTACCAAGCAAAATATATGAAACGAATTACTTGAATGTTTTGGATTAACGGCTTTTAAGCCAATTGATACTTCAGTCTTAGGCGTCTGAATCATTTTGAAAGAACCGAGGAAGCTTTAATCAAAAACAGATTTCAAAAAATCGTCTGTGCTCAAAATGTGGAATGTGTTTCACAAAAAAACGAATGTTGATAATTATCTCTCTTTTTTTTGTTTTTCAGATATTCAATGATCACAGAACAACGTACATTGTCGTATTATTGACGTCCATTGAATACTACATGCCATATATGGAATTATTGATTCGTTGTATAGTTTACCTTTTATCATGTGATTTAATGTGTGTTGAATATAGTCGTTTAAACAGATGTTTATTGTATATTGTAATTTGTTTTAGGAATGCAAGCACATTTTAGTAACATTTTTAATTTAAGCTATTCGTCTCGGTATCAATTTGGAATATCCTATCGCTGTTGTAATTGTATCGAGTTTTATGCATTGATTTTCGGATTAATATTCAGGCAGTTGAAGCCAAATTGAACTTTTGACACTGAGTGCGTAACTGTTTATATTTGCAATCATGGAAGCGAACTTTCAACTTTCTTTGTAATGGAGAACTCGTGTCACGCAGCATGCGGAAACGCTTTATTTATGAAGCATATCAACAAAACATGACTTGTTTACTCTAAGTTACCTAGCAACATTTGAGATATGAATATTCCACAATAGAAACCATTGCCCAAATAAAGAATTTGTCCATTTTCCATTTCAAACGTTTTTCACAAGAAATTATTCGTTGGCCCCAATTTATGTATTATTCTCATAAAAATTACAACATTTATGTGAAGATGTTGACATATAATATTCAATTTTGCCCTAACCCTCTTTAAATTTAGATGATATTGGTTAGACATTGCTTCAATATTTGCAGATAAAATTTCAATGGCTCGATAGCAAATATAAATATTATATGAATACACATAGAAAATAACCAATAGATTTTTCAACCGTCCAATTCATCAATTATCGAACAATCAATATATCGAAAAGCTGTGTATTGTATGACGATGTGTATTTCTGTGTGATAATTCTGTTGATTGTGCAATGTGACACATTGACAAATAGCGACAACTGAACAATGCTCGACATGGGCTATACACATATTGTATTTAATATTCATTTTAATTAATTGTTATGTACGAATATTATTCTTGTTTTAATCATATATCCTGTGAAATAAATGTGAGTTATTTTCAGCATGATAATATTTTATTCCGGAATGTGATACTATTAAAGCAACAGTAGCTGTATTTAAATATAATGACATAAAAATGACCAAAGATCTCGTTTAGATAAGATAAAATTGCTTGGGCAAA